ACAAAAGCTCGTTTTGGTTCAGCTGTTTTATAAAAGACATTTTTAATCAGTAAACACCGGGGACTTACATATAATGGACTACGTTCTTTAATTTGTTGAAACATTTTCATTTGTGGAAGAAAATGTCTTAATGTAAATACTTTAGTATCTTCATGTAAATCAATTTCAATTTCAAATGTTGTTTTTTGTTTTGGATTTATTTGTATTATTGGTAAATATTTTGTTATTGTTGTTGTCATATTAGGTGATAATAATGTTAATTTTATTTTTATTTGTGCACCCATTATACCAAATGGTTCTTCAGCTGACATAATTAAACATTGTCTTGCAATATTTCGAATATGATTACATGGAAGAAATAAATTATCACATGATAAATGTTTAATTTTACTTTCACGTAATGTTGTTAATAAACGTTTTGATACAAGTAATAAATGTTCTTCACGTAAATCAAGTTCAGGATCATAATTAAATGTAGATAATTGTTGATGACCTGTATTGATGACCATCATTGAATCTATAAAATCAAAAAAAAAGGAAGAATAAAAAGGAAAAAGAACGATGGAGGCGTGTAAAGAGTACATTGATAATCTAATGCACTCAATCTTGAGAACTTTTTAGGGCTTCTTAGTTTGCCTCTCAACTCTCCATGTAACAAATGAAACCTTGCCGAGGGTAAATTGCTAAAACAACACATCACTCGATGTTATTATTACTCTTTTTTTTTTCTTCTCTCGTTTTTTTTTCGTCGCCTCCATTGGCATCGTAATCGTCCGTGCAAGACATACAGACACTTTTTTCTTCTGCTTAGTAAACCTTCTCTTCGAAGCTTAGCTAACAATTCATGTTCGAACGAGCTTTTCAAGTGTACTTATACAAATTCATTTTTTGTCGTTTTTTTGTTATTTTTTTCTTGAATATACGAAAAAGAAAGCATAAAGAGAATCGAATGTTATGTTATTCTGCATTGATGAATATTGATAATGTTTTACATTCTATGAGAATTATATCTACTATTTAAATTGTTCGAACTTTTTTTTTTTTTTTTTTATTGATAATTTATTTAAACAATTATAATAATCACTTAAATGATAGGTTTTTCTTTCTTTTGTGGATTGTCAGGTAGTATTACCATTTAAAAACAAAAATGTCCATCGGTTTCTACTTGTCAATATGATGAATGAATCAAACAGAAGAGCGGCATTAATATAAGATGATGGTGTACAGTTGCTATTAAGAAAACAAATCCGTTCTTTCTATAAATATATTAAGACGTGCAGTCCAGATCGTTTCTCTCCTTCATTTTATTTCTTGTGCGTTATTGATGATCGATATTTGCCTATACACATAATTTATACATACAATCATGTGTATATATATATATATATGTATATAGTCAATGCCGCCGTAGTTTTATATATTTAATAAGATTGATGACAATAGTAAAAAAGAGAAAAAAAGAACTATGGACAAAGAAATATTTACTGTAAGTAAATATTAAAGTTATTGCTACGTTGACAAAACAACATAAGCAACGATGACTGGCTTTTGTCTGCTTACAGTTAACGATGAAGTTTGCTTACATCGAGGTATTGAAGAGACAGAATTAATAAATATATAAGAAAGAACATACATAAAAAGAAATCGAGATGATTAAAAACACTATTCTCACAGATATGTACATACAATCAGATTATATAAACGACATGTTCTAATATATGTGTTTCCCTCTTGTAAAAATCGATATTATTTACCTTGTTTTATGATCGGTCTAGAAATTTGTTTAAGTATATTTGTAAGACTTTGTTTACATCGTTCTATCCAAGATGAATTATCATTTAAATTTGGTTGCATTGATCGATCAAATATTTCATAATTTACAATATTTGTTTTTGAATATCGATCAAGTGATGATGTAAGAATTCTTGTTGATGAACATTGTCTGTCATTAAATATTCCCATTTGATTATTTAAATTAATTGATAAACTTTCACATATTGGATAAGAAGAATTTCGTTCATGTGTTCTTATTAAAGTATTGTTTCGAACTGCCATTACTTTTTATTTCTGTTGTCTTTGCTTTATTCGTATGAGTGATGGCAATCAAGCAGTAGTCTGAAACAATACATATGCAGAAAGGTCGAGAAAAAAAAGAACAAGAACAACAACAAAAAAGACGAATTGAAAGGATCTGCATAAGATTAGTAGTTTTAATATTCTAGACATCAGATGGTCAATAGCTGACTATTCTTTATAGTAATGTTCTCAAGATTTGTTTAACCTATTTTAAAGATCCTTACATAATGTACTTTTAAACGTTTGCTTATTCTATCTGTTTTTTTTTTCTTTATTCGTAAAAGGTCGTTGAAATGGAATGATTAACAAAGAATTAAAACTATCTTCGACATAGACATGAGCCAACGAATGTATACATGTTTAAATCATAGCACACGTACATTCGGTACATAATAAACTGCAAATGGCACTATGCTTTAGTCATTTTGCAGATGTCACGCGCGCCTATCTATTATTAAGAAGAAGAAAAAAAGAGATAAGAAATGAAGCCGCCATCACGTTTACAAGAATGACTGCATATTTCTCTCGTTTTTCTCTTTATTCAATGAGAAAGATAGTGTCTTTTAAAGTTCGGATCTGTTTAACATAAATGTACTTTTACTCATCACTCAGTATAGCTTTGTATAATACAGTTAAATACGTGACGGGCATTACTGATGCTTGTCAGCAGGAGGGGTCTTAATAATCAATCACACTAATTTGTATCTGTCCTTCTCTATCGAAATCAGCACAGATATTTTTTTGCATTTTCTCTCGTTTGCTTGTACACACTTATTCTTGCATTGATTTTTCCTATTCTCAGCACATCATCAAATACGATCTCAGTAGTCTAACAAACAGAGAAAAAAAAAGAAAAAGCAGAAGAAAAGACGAGAGGAAATACATGGAGACGTTAAGTGTGTGCACCATCACGACATTATATTTCTTCTCATTTTTTTTCTCGCTCTCTCTATCTGTCTTTTCTACTACTACTACTACTGCTATCAATATCATGATGACCTTCTCTCGTATCATTGCACGACACATGTTCGCACACAACACGATTTGAATCAATTCATTTCAATCTATTACCTACCTATGTGGATATATTTAAACATAAATCGATACAATCGTTTTACGAGTCAAACGAAAAAGAAAAATCATTTGATATATTCAGCAAATACCGAACTTCGTCAATGATCATCGGTTGCATGACATAAAGGTTGCCGGGTACATGATAGAAAAATCGACCAGAACATGAGAATTTTTACTCACACTACAATTGCCATCTATGCATATACTTATGTTTGTCTGTGCAACATAGACTCTATTGAAAATTCTTTCATTCTCTTATCAGCTGAATGCCTGCCTTTCTATTGTATTTTTTCTATACCGACACATTACTTTTCTCTCTTATCGACGCGTAAATTAACATGTGTTTGCTTGTTGTTCGTTTCTTTGCACAGCGAGGGTGAATCAGCTGTTTCATACGATACGCTGGATTCTCATCTGGTCGATAGTAAAGTAAAAGAAAAAAGAGAAAAGAAAGAAAAAGAAAATTCATAAACCGTAATTGCCAATATTTACTGTTCGCATAACAACAATAGTGACTTTTAATTTCTCCGTGTCAGTTGTTTCATTTTTTTTTTTCTTTTATTGCTTCTATCGGAAGACCGGTACAACCGTGTCTCTATAGATATAGATTCACTTGAAAAGAACACGTGTATACGTAGAACATGGTATTACAAAACAACACAAACAACACATAAGCATAGATAGATAAATAGATAGATACATAGATATATAGATATGAAAAAAAAAAGAAAAAAAAATGATACTCATAGTTCGAAGAATCAAGAAAATTGAAACATAAACTGCTTATAAGAATGGCAAACAAAAAACGCAAGAAAGAAATACAATACAGACAAAAGAAAATGGCAGATTTTTGATTCTTCAAGTAATCACAACAACAAAATATAGATAATATAAATAAAGGAAGTCTTATCTCGATTAATATTTAAATATTTTTACTTTTTTTCTTAATGAGAACAATTCAAGAAAAAAAAGACGCAAAAAATAGAAATAGAAGCTAGAACATCGTGATGAATATGTTTCATTCTCACATTTGAACATCGACAAAAGAAAAAAAACTAACAACAGTGAATAATAAATAATTCTAATAGACACGGAAAAAAACACACCCACACAAAGCATACGTCGTCATCTGACTTAAACTAAAGAGTATTGACGACGAACAGATCTTGTGATAAACATAAGAAAAAAAAAAAAAAACGAAGAAAACAAATACATGATTTGCCTATAATATAAATGAGACAACAACAATTAGCTACGCGAATAAATATTGCCTACATAGAGAAAAAAGAAAGCCAAAGTGAAATGAATTTTATGTCAGATCGAATACTTGAATAATTAGTTTTGTCATTTTTGTTCGATGAAATTTATCAAGATGAATTGACAAAAGCTCGTTTTGGTTCAGCTGTTTTATAAAAGACATTTTTAAT